CTTAGGGGGATAAATAAAGTAATTATTTTATCTTATCTTATAGGTGTTCATGTTGTTAGGTCGAGACTCTGTAAATGCCAAGAGTGAAAGTAACACGACAGCATTCCCATACGCCATACAGGGCTACGGAATTTTATAACTTTCACAACCATAAAAACACTATCAGTCATATTTCTTGCAGCTTCTATGGCTACTACTCGTATCTTTCGATCATATTCACCACCATAATTACTATTATTCATATTTATATCACCTTAATTGCCATTGTTTCTACTATTCATATCACTCTGGTATATTATCTGCCATAACTTGTTAGTCATATTCACATTACTATAGATATTATTACAGTTAATGTTAATTTTGTGGTTGCTTGCATCCCTGGGACAGTCTGTCTTTGTGTCTGTCTGTCTGTCTGTGTGTGTGTCTGTCTTTGTGTCTCTTTCTCTCTCCCCCCCAACCGGTCAAGACAGATGGCCGTCCTCCATAGAGCTGGGTCTGTTTGCTACTGTGTGCACGAGATTGCTGGATAAATACTGTGTATAAATACTGTTATTGCTATTATTAAAGATAGTGCGACTTGTTGCTGCTCATGGGGGAATTGTTCCGTCTCTGTAAATCATGAATAAGTCATAGAGTGTGGTCTAGACCTACTCTATATGGAAAGTGTCTTGAGATAACTTTTGTTATGATTTGGCACTATAAATAAAATTGAATTGAAAATTGAATTGAATTGAATTTCGCTAATTAAATAAAGAGAGCATAGTATATTATATAAAGGCTGCCATTCCCCCACATTAGTGTTTTGAAGCAGTGCATTTCGGGAAAGATGGAGTTTGCTTTAGAGGTAGAAGTAGATAAGATGTTGGCTTGATAATCAACAATTTGGTACATCTGTACGAGTGTCTGTATGCATGGTTGAGGAGAAAGGCATTTTGATAAATCAAAGAAAAACACAAAGAAATATCAGACTGAGATGACTGACTTTAACAGAGATGGCACTTTGTCTTCTCACTGTGTTGTTTGATGTAGGCGAGTAGAACCAACAGATGAGACGTGGGTGTCTCAGAAGGACCATCTCTCCTGTTTTTTTTTTTACCAGATGTATTATTATTACTATTATTATTATTATTATTATTGTAATAACATTCATTCATCGTTTCATCGTTTCATCATTTCATTCATTCATTCATTCATTCATTCTTTCATTATATTCATTCATTTAAAATATTCAACTGTTTGTGATTTGTTTCCTGCAGTTTGCAGTGGAATCACATCAGTCTCAGCCTTTTCATACGGTCAGTAAGCCATTTTAAGTCTGTCACATTGCTAAACCAGAATAAAAACGGTCAGAAAAGCAGCCATAAAATGAATTCTGGTCGATATTAAGTGTATAATAGGCTACTCAGTAACAATCCAGGTTACTTGTTGGTGTGATCATTGTGGCGCATCTGTAATGCACAGTGGAAAACATTCATGTCCCTTATTTTCTGCATGACTATTTCCAGGCAGACATAAATTACGTGTGTGGTTCTAGAAAGAAACATTAATTAAAAAAAATGTGTATCTTGTGTTTACTTAAATGTTATAATGTGTTTTAAACAACGGAGTGTCTATTTACACCCGGGTGAAAATAGCCTTTGCCCCGCGATCTGGCTATTGACCCCTCCATTCTAATCCTGAACGTCTTTAGAACGGTAAAATTTCATCACAGTTGGTAAATAACACCTGTGTACCTAATTATGTCTGATGAGTGCCTAATCTCTGAACAAAAAGAGGTCTGTTTAGGTTTTAACAAGCCCCATTATTAGTGATAATGTGCTCCCTGCTGGTTATAGCCCTAAATTAAATTTAAATGCTCAAAAAAGGTTCATATTGTTTTCCAAAGACAGGTATTCGTTACAATGGTCTGTATCCTAAACCAGCATTGGGCGATATTAAAATATATTAATGTGGTTTAACAGTTTTAATTGCACCCTGACTCAGGATCATGCAAATGTGGCACAGAGTGATTTATATGCATTTGTTCATGCATTTTGTCTTTTATTCTTGCAGGTGGGTAAATGTCACCGAAGCACCTCTAATGTTATTGGTAGTGTAATCAGTCTGTCTTTATTGCTCTGTTAAAATTATTGTGCTTTCTTATATTAATGTTAGTAACGTAACGTTAAGTGTTTTTGTAGGCTACTGTTAATGACGGCGCTATAGTGGAAACCTTCATTTAAGCTAGAGTAACTCCGCAAGGATCTACGCATTTATTTTTCTAAATATTACGTTATATCACAACTTGTGACAATATATTTGTTAAGGTCCTTAGGGCAATGGCTGTTGATGGTTAGCGTTGATCTTATTTACTTGCGCCAAATTGTCATTTTATGGGTGTTTATTGATCCGGCAGTTGAGCTAATATGCTACCGTCAGCGTTCACTTGTTGTCATAGCAACTGTAAACTGTATTAGCGGAAACAGGCAACGTTGAGTGTGATACATTATAGTATAAGACGTGTTTATTTTGATGTAACTGTTAGGTCTACTAGGATTTATGATTTCTAATATTGTATGTGTACATATAGCCTATATTTATATAAATTGTATTTTATTGAGATTTCGATATATATGAAAAAGAGAATGAAAACACATTTTTATATTATTATCATTTATATTATATTTTGTAGTATAGCACACATAAATACATTGTGTTTTGTTGTGATTCTGATATGAAATATATTATTATTATATTATTTGATCTAATATAATTTTGAGATTGTATTTTGTATTATTTATTTATATTGTTCCAATATATTTATATTATATTGTTGGCCGTTGATATTGAGTAGCCTGAGTAAAACTGCCACTGAAGACCAACAAACTGATCAATTTTTGTCATTTATTCTTGCAGAATCTTTTGGCACAGTAGTGTATACAGTACAGTCTCTGTATTTATCATATTCAAAGGAATTCATATGTCCAACCATGATATTTTACATATTCTTAATTTATTATTTTATATATGTTGTTTAGCTATATTTTTGATATGTATTATTTGCACACTGGTCTTATTTGTATGAATATCTATTTTTGCCGATTGTCTGCTTGTTTGTAATCTAAAATAAAGATTTATAAATAAATAAAAAAAAAAAGAAACAGGCTTGACTCAAGAGGTGCAAGTCAGTTACAGGCTGCTATTTGCTTGTTAAACTGCAGCCAATCACAATGCTGCTTCCCCTCCCCCACTCATTTGCAGCCACCTGGCCTTGGGGTCTGGAAAAACAATAGATGCCAGCGGGATACAAGGAAACAAGGAAGGAAGGTCATGGCTCTTTCAACTTTTCTAGATCATTGTAAAGCTACATATGCAGAAAGTTCCAGCAAGCTAACAAAGGTTGTTTGGCCTGGTATTGTAGAAAATTCTAAATATTCTCCATGCGGCTGAGTGCATATTTAATGATAGAAAAGTCATTAATCACGAATTACATTTGTACATGTTTGAAAAAATGCTACAGCTGACAGCTACAGGATTAGCAGTTGTACAAACTCGGCTGTTACACCTGGAATTGTAGCAGGCTGAAGTTAGCATTGGGGATGAATTGAATTTACTGTCTTTTGAGGATTTTCACAAACGCTGACTTTAAACGTACACTTATTGAATTTGTTATTTAGTTATCATACCGGGAGGTGGTATTCTATTCAATTCAATTTCAATTCAATTCAATTTTATTTGTATAGCGCCAATTCATAACAGAAGTTATCTCAGGACACTTTATTTATATATTTATTTATACTATTACTTGGTAGATACTGTAGACTCCATTATTATTAATGAAGACATGTCAAATGGTTACATTATGTGGCATATTAAGCCCGTTGAAGCTCATTAAACAGCGTATTTCTTTAATTCAATTCATGTAAGAGGGAGTTTAAAAGTTTACTATTTGTTTTGTATTTGGTTATAGAAAGATAGTCATTATTTTTGGTTAAAAATGCAGAGTACAGTGTTTAGATTGCCAGTAAAATTTTGAAGGTGTAGTAACCATAAATCGCCAGTAGATGTCAGACGCGCTACAGGAGCAGCATAGGTGCTGGAGAGTCACGGGGCAACTCTTGTGTGATTACGTCAGACAATGAGAATCCCTGTGTACGAGACCACAATCGAAGAATGCTGTGTTGAAATTGTCAACATAAGTCCTGTAAGAAAGCCCTACAGGTCAAGGTCCAACAGCACCCTCTACTGGTGCAAAGACAACTAGCAGTGAACAAGTCAGGACATGCCCAGTCACACTGAAGAGCAGCAAACCAGTCAGTGAGCAGACCGTGTAAAGCTGCATGTAGTGATGGGCAAATGAAGCTTTTGTGAAGCACTGAACCACTTGAGCCAATTGTTTCAAAAATGGGTTCACTACTTGAAGCTTCAGTTACAGTGACCTCTACTGGCAAAGTGCAAGGCTGCAGCCAAATTAGGAAGGCTAGTTGATGGACATGAGGCTTTTAATTACATACTCGCATGCATGCACACGCACACATCTAGCGAGCAGTGTTTTTGTAGAAAACACCTTTTGTTCTGAAGCATGTTTGCTTTGATCACCCTTGGATTGAAAGTGTATTTGCTTTAAAAATTTGTATCTATATCATGTTCTATTTACAAATAAAGATTGATGAATGTGTGTATTATGTTATTGAGGAGAGAATGCTGGGGAAATATTGTATAGGTTGGGGTGTGCTTGTGTAACTATGACAGGAGGGAATTGGGAACAGTCATGAATCAATACAAACATAATGAATCAATACAAACGCAATGAATCAATACAAACGCAATAACTCTGCAACTATGATAACAACCCACAAATTGTGCATTGTTTAGAGCGTTTATAAAGTGTTAATGGCGCTCAAATTCAAAACTGTTTCAACCTGTCACCTGTCGGAATCGGGGCAGTGAATCACCTGATTGGACCACGAACCAGGCAGCTGATTCATTCAGGCAACGAAACAGTTGCTGCTTCAGACGTCATTTGTCACGTGATTTTTTTCGGACCAAAGCAAGCTTTGAAGCAGTGGTTCTATGGAATTGTAGTTCAGGGTTCGAAGCACGCATCGAAGCTTCAGTGTCACACTGCCATCACTAGCTGCATGGACTTTCTGTGTGTTTCCTAATGATGTGTGCATTCTTGAGGAAATGTAAGTAGTTTCAGCTTGTATTTATGTATAATTTGATCACTATTGCAGTTTGTGTTATTTTACATGGAAATATGATGAGTTTGAGTTAGCTACGTTTGGATTGTGAGGACTTAATCATGAATATTTCGTTTGTAATGCCAATATTGCAACTCAGTCTATTTGTTGTGATTGTGACCATGCTTATTGTTAATAGCGTTTAAAGGTTGAATTATTTACCGTGATTCACAGTCAGTATGTAAAGCTCCCATGCTGTTTAGCATGCTTTGCCTCTGCTAATGTTACGTTGGAAATTGTACTGCTTATTCCACGTAGGGCTGGGCAATAAATCGATTTTATCGATTAATTCAAATTTGTAGTTAAACATGATTTATTTTTAGTTAAAATAGTTAAAGTAGTAGTTTTCTCTTGAACTTCCACAACACCGGCGCTCCCTTCGGGCTCCCGTAGATCAGAGTGTGCTGACCCCTCCCCCCGCCTCTCCACAGATAAACACAAGATGGCAGCAAGCCAGGATGAGCTCGTCCCCAAAAAAGGCACAGTGTCGTCGGTGGTTTGGAACTGGTTTGGTTTTGTGGTGTCCAAGAGCGAACAAACCACGACGCACTGCAAAGTTTGTTTGAAAGCTGTTGCAACCGACCAATTTATTCCAGCACCTCAAGCAGAGGCATGCAGCCGAGTGGGAGAAATGTTGCTGTCTGCGAGATATACAGGACCGCAGCCCACAAACACTCGCTAAAAAACAGTCTACAAAAAAAACGATGTAAATCGGGTTTGGTGTGAAAAAATCTGAGATTTTATTTTTAAGCCATATCGCCCAGCCCTAATTCCACCACTAATATTGCATCTTTGTTGTTGTATTATGCTGAAGTAGCAGTTTGCATATAAGTTAGGGATATTATTGGTGAACCTTAATATCTTATCCATTTGTCTCGTAAATCCCCCACCCGAGTTGCTCTGCCACGAGAACGTGACGTAATTGCCTGGCTTGTACCACTTATAGCGTTACAGTTGTCTTTCCATGGAATGGCGCCAGCGACAACGGCAGCCTGTCATGGCAGCTCCTTTTCATTGTTGTAGTTTTAGTGTGTTTTCAGTGTGTTTTTGCTATTTTGAACTCTTTTCTTACTTTCTTACTTTCTTACTACTTTGTTCACGTCGCCTAAATACTTTTTTGGCGTTTTTGAGCACTTTTTATTTTTTGTTTATGCTGGTCTCCATGGCGACGGGGAGTCGCATTGTTTTCACCCGCGATCAGATGATCGCCCTGAGGCCCCCTAGCATCCTGACCGGAGAGAGACCCTCCATACTGGAGGAGCTGAGGAGACGATGAGGCTGCAGAGCGGGGGTTAAACGGAGGATGAAGAAGAGGAGCTTTAAATTCTACATCCCTGCAATCATCGAGCAGATACCGGACTCCAACGTCACCATTCCCGGCTTCCAGAGGGTTCGAGCCGTCAGGGACACCACCGCGACCGGCATGAAGAAAGGAGGGGGACTATCCGTGCTCATAAACAACAGGTGGTGTAACGCCGGGCACGTCTGTGTGAAAGAGCGTCTGCAGCCCGGACATCAAGCTCGTCGCCATCGGACTTCGTCCTTCATCATCATCATCACTGTTTACATTTATGATGTCTTATTTATTCTCCTGTACAGCATTTTGGTCAACTTTGGTTGTTTTTAAAGTGCTTAACAAATAAAGTTGGATTGGATTGGATTGGATTTGGGCATTACGAGTCAGAAAGAAGTGCAGCAGCTTTCTTGTTTCTGCTTGTGGCTCATCTAAAAAAGCACAATGTGAAATATATTTTTCTACAGAAACACTAACATTTCAAGTAATTCCTTTATTGCAAGTCTTACATTTCAATAATATTTTGCCATTTTCGCCTATTTCAATTTCAACAAGTGCTGTGGCGTTTTTCTCGAGCCACCAGGGGCCACCAGGGGCCTCCAGGGGCCTCCAGGGGCAGTGGCTAGTGTTATTGTTAGCTACATTAGCCTATTTAGCAAACCAGCTTGAAAACAAAACTTTACATTGTATTGCACGCACAACAACACCGTGCAATGCATAAATTGGTGACCGGATTAAAGCAGCAATGTAAACAAGTGTGTAGGAGCATTTAAAATCGACATTAAAACGACCAATGTAGTACAAATACAAAGAAAATACATCTCAATATGGGCGCTGCCATCTTTGTTTTGCGGGTCGTACGTTCGTCCTCGTTTAGCTCGGTGTACTGTGAGGTACCAAGAGCTGGACGGCTGAAATTACGACCAAAAGGGGGTGTGTCTTGGTGAAATGTCGCAAGATAGCTGCGAGATTTACACTTTCCAACTTGGGCTGGGGGTTTACGTGACAAATGGATAGCACCATTATGCTGATATAGTAGCTTATTTAGAGATGTTTATTTGATTTAACTGCTGAATAACATGTCGAGCATTGTTGTAATACAGTTTATTTCTTTTCTTTATTTTCAGACCACACACAAACACACCCACATACGTTGTACAGCAATGTTAAATTCTAGCACCGTGGTACAACCACCAAACCCGCCAGTTAAAGCAAATGGCGAGGAAATCTGAAAGGAAATGGCGCTCTTCCAAATTATCAGAATATCGCTCAATTTGGCAAGATAATCTTAAAACTTATAGAAAGGCCCTCCGTAATGCCAGAGGAGCCTATTACTCAGCACTAATAGAAGAAAATAAGAATAACCCTAGGTTCCTCTTCAGCACTGTAGCCAGGCTGACAGAGAGTCACAGCTCTATTGAGCCACATATCCCCATAAACTTAAGTAGCAATGACTTCATGAGCTTCTTCTACAATAAAATTATCACTATTGGAGAGAAAATCACCAACTGCCATCAACAGTTATCAGTGGCTCTCCAAGTTCAGGGACTTTTGCTAATGTAAACTCAGACTCATAATTGTATTTTGTGGCCCTCCTACAATAGGTTTAGATGTTTTAATGTTCAAAAAACACATTATTTTTCTCATACTGCCTATAGCTGAGCACCTCTTTTCAGCCTCTGTCTGAATCGCTGTTTTAGCGCCTGTCTCTTTAAGACCCCCCTCCCGAAAAGCCCAGTCTGCTCTGATTGGTCAGCATTATGACGCGGCTCACACGGATGACGTGGCTCACGCGGATGACGCTCTGGCCCCTCCCCTTCGTTGCCGGCAGGTAGCTCCTCACTGCTACTGAGTTTAGCTGCATTTCTACCGTCAATATTAATTCAATAACTGCTTCTAAACCAAAAACTTCACCAGCGGACATGTTAGAGCGGGAGTCTGACCTGAAATCACGGAGAAATGGACAACAACAAAGTAATCAGAGTAATAGTATAATGATTACTGTAACCTCCCATCTGTTATATTCTTTATACACATTAGTTTACTGAGACCATGGAAACAGAAACCTGGAATACTTTATCCTGTACAACATGTCAACATAACTGAAGGAATCACTCATCTAATAAAGTAAATTGTTTATGGGGTTGAAAAACTGCCAAGTAACCAACTGTTAACGGTACTGTATCCATATTTCATAGTCTAATATAGTATTATTACCAAAGTTAACCTTCAGGTATTTGTAAAAGCTGCAATTATGTTTGAACCCCATTAAAAATACTGTATACTCAATATTCTATCATTTATATTATATATTGTGATGTAATTTATCTTCCAACATTATAAAGTTTGAATGTGAGACAGTAATGTATTGTGTTGCTTACAGTCATTAATACAGGTTTAAATTTCACATTTTCATATTGATAGATGACCAGATTTTCAACTCTTTCAAAATCTTCATAAAACCTTTGTGAAATAACATGTTATTTATATAAAACCACACTTGAATTTAAAAATGACCAAAACTCTTCTTAAAAGTAAAACACTTTATTTATATTTCATTCATATTCCAGTTACACATGTTGTAAGTAACAAAGCTATAACTTTTATGTAAACTGTGCAGATCCTGTCCTACATCAAGGTTTATGGTTTCTAGTATACTGAAGTGTGAGCTGGTAATGGAGCTCTGCAGTCAGTGTTCATCTTCATGAGTCTTCCTTTGGATACCCAGACTGTCCTGATGCTGCAGCTGTCTCTGTCCTCTGATGGGTCCAGGAACACCTGAGCTTCATCAGGTCACCTGTAAAACAAGGCAGATTCAGTGTTACTTGTAAGACAGCATATAATATACAGTGTAATATAATGCAGTATAATATAATACAAGTACAACAGCTCATTGTGGCTCAAAGTAGTCCTACCTAAGTTATAATCTAAAATAATAAAGCAGTGTCTCTGGTGGTTCCTTGTTGCAGCTAACTGTAGTGATGTGTTGTTGAAACAGTCTGAGGTTACCAACACAATGTCTATCTAATGGCAGCAGATACACACACAGGACATTTACTGACTGTAACTGATGTTGTAACAAGTTCCCGGTGCAATAACAGAAATTTAGCAGTGAGCCTCAGTGTTTATAATACAATAGGAGATTATGAGTATAGGATGTTACACTGGACCTACACTTATATCGTCAGTAATAGCAGTACTTCAGTAACGCTAAATAAATGGATCAGAAAACTTTTATTCGTCGGTTTGACTCCACATAAAGCCTAGTGAGCAACCCCAGCTGCTGGGTGCTAATCAAAGTTACAGAATAATACTAAACTAATGAATCCCTGCAGTTTGACTATTTCTCTCTCACTGTAGCTCTATTGTTAACTCTGGTGCACGTTGATCAAGTTAATTTACACACCGTAACACACACACACCTGAACGAAGCAGAGAAACAACAAAGCTAGCGCTAGCTGAGATAACGTTAGCACGTCAGTATAAAGTTACACAAGAAGCAACATGAAAACAACCACCAGGCTCCAACCTAATTAACGGTTAACGAGGGTTATCGATCACACTGCCCCTCATATTACAACATAAAGTCCAACAGACTCAGTAACCAAAGTAACACAGTGACATCACAGAGCTGCTGTGTGCTAATCAAAGCTACAATGCTACCAAACAAATGACCTCCGCTGCTGAATTACACACAGTACGGTGTCTCCTGATCACAGCTGTATTGATCCACACGGTGAACAGATACCTAGCTACCCAGCAGATAATAAGTTACCAGGTTAAAGACAATTAAAGCTATCTAACGTTATCTTACCGGTTCCATGCAGCTCAAGGAGCTAACAGCTGATGAGCGGCTACAGTTTGTTCACTCTGAGGTTTTCTGCTCTTTCTAACAGCGACACAAACATATTACTGACGGAGCACGTTTAACTAAATACAGACCAACATAAAGCCAATTACCCCCGGTCACAAAACCCACAACAGTAACAGAGTTACAGAGCCCCCCCCCGCACGAAGCTTGGTGATTCACGGCTTAAACTTCGTGTGAATCTCTATAAAAATATCAGCAGGGGAGAATATGGAGACATCTGCACCAGCTGGCTTAATAAATTAACTTCACTTTATAAGTTTCATGTTCATCTTTTAACAATTAACAAACAATAACTACGTTAGCATCACTGAGGCCCCTGCAGCTAACAGCGGTTAGCATGAGCTAGCATTACACGAACAATAAAAAACAGCATAAACTCTTAAAAATACTTAGTTTCTTCCTCTGCCTTCTCTCCACAGACTGGCAATGGCGGAGCTCCGATAGTCAACAGGAAGTAAAGAGAGGTGGGTGGCAACAGGTACACACACTTCTGAAGCTTCGTGATTTCTCTCCTGTATTCTTCTGACTGAGGCAGCCCACAAAAACATGACTGAGTCATTTTTTTTCACACTTTGCCTGCTGATAGGCCCTCCAGATTCCCAAATGTACATAATCAAATGATTAAAAAGTTGGTTTTGCATAATGTCCCCTTTAATTGACACTTCTTTACTGGATATGATTAATATCTCTTTATGATCAGGATGTGTACCACAGTCCTTTAAAGTAGCTGTAATTAAACCCCTTCTTAAAAAGCCCACTCTTGACCCAGGCGTTTTAGCTAACTATAGACCAATCTCTAACCTCCCCTTCCTCTCTAAGATTCTGGAGAATCTCGCCAAAGAGTTGTGACTTTCTACATAACAATAGTTTATTTGAGGATTTTCAGTCAGGATTTAGAGTTCATCACAGCACAGAGACAGCTCTGGTTAAAGTTAATAATGACCTTCTGATTGCTTCTGACAATGGACTTGTCTCTGTACTTGTATTATTAGATCTTAGTGCTGCATTTGACACCATTGACCATAATATTCTTTTACAGAGATTTAAGCATCAAATTGGCATTAAAGGAACCGCAATAAGCTGGTTTAAGTCATATTTATCAGATCGTTCGCAGTTTGTACATGTTAACGATGAATCTTCAATAAATACTACAGTTAGTCGTGGAGTTCCACAAGGTTCTGTACTTGGACCAATACTATTTACTCTATATATGCTCCCTTTAGGCAACATTATTAGGAATCACTCCATTAACTTTCACTGTTATGCAGATGATACGCAGTTATATCTATGGATCAAGCAATGAAATAAATTATCTATCTATATATTATCTAAATGACAAACATGTCTTAAGGACATAAAATCCTGGATGAGCTGCAATTTTCTGATGTTAAACTCAGGAAAAAAATGAAATTCTTGTTCTTGGCCCCAAAAACCTTAGAGACTCGCTGTCTAAAGATATAGTTACTCTAGATGGCATTACCTTGGCCTCTAGCACCACTGTCAGGAATCTTGGAGTTATCTTTGATCAGGATTTGTCTTTTAACTCCCACATGAAGCAGACCTCTAGGACTGCCTTCTTTCATTTACGTAATATTACAAAAATTAGACACATACTATCACAGACAGACGCAGAAAAACTAATCCATGCATTTGTTACTTCAAGGCTGGATTACTGCAACTCTTTATTATCAGGTTGCCCCAATAAGTCCATTAAGACACTCCAATTAATTCAGAACGCTGCAGCACGAGTACTGACAGGAACTAGAAAAAGAGATCACATCTCTCCTGTACTAGCTTCTCTGCACTGGCTCCCTGTAAGATGTAGAATAGAAGTTAAAATCCTCCTCCTCACCTATAAAGCTCTTCATGGTCAGGCCCCTTCATATCTTAAAGAGCTCATAGTACCCTATTACCCCTCTAGAACACTACGTTCTCTGAATGCTGGGCTACTTGTGGTTCCTATAGTCTCTAAAAGTACAACAGGAGCCAGAGCCTTCAGTTACCAAGCTCCTCTCCTGTGGAACCAGCTTCCAGTTGTGGTTCGGGAGGCAGACACCCTCACCACATTCAAGAGTAGGCTTAAGACATTCCTCTTTGATAATGCTTATAGTTAGGGCTGGATCAGGTGAGTCCTGAACCATCCCTTAGTTATGCTGCTATAGGCCTAGACTATCGGGGGATTTCCCATGGTGCACTGAGCTCCTCTCTTCCTCTCTCTTTCTGCACTCATTCGTGTCCCATTAATGCATGTTGCTAACTTCACTTCTTCCCCAGAGTTCTTGTGCTTTCTCGTCTTGCAGGTTCTTATGGATCCTGGTGGAACCTCCTGCCATGGTCCTGCTAAATTGCCATTGCCAATACTGTTGTTGCTGCGCCTCTCTCTCTCTCTCTCTCTGTCTCTCTCTCTCTCTCTCACCCCAACTGGTCGAGGCAGACGACCACCCACCTAGAGCCGAAAGATCTGTCCTAGGTTTCTGCCTTTTAACAGGCAGTTTTTCCTTGCCCTTGTCGCCAAGTGCTTGCTCATGGTGGTACTGTTGGGTCTCTGTAAATAATGTTTTAAAGAGTTTGGTCTAGACCTACTCTATTTGAAAAGTGTCCTGAGATAACTTTTGTTATGATTTGGCACTATAAATAAAATTTAATTAATGTATATGTTGTACTTTAAGTATCTTTTATGCAAATTATGGCTAAAGGTTTGATTGGAAATGCACAAGGCTGCACTTTTTCTGTATGGCATAGGCTTATATCAATTTTAACGATGCAAAGTTAAACATTACTTTATGCGGGAAATTGATTGCAAGAGAACAGGATCACAGTATCAACAATCCTTTACCTCCAAACCTACCGAATCCATTACACCACCAGCTGACATTATATGGTCAGTATAATTATTACTACAACTACTGCAAGAACTCAAGTCTCTACAAAGAGGAACTGCAATTTCCTCACGTCCTTATGGAAGCAGTCCTGAATTCAATTCAATTTGATTTGTATAGCGCCAATTCATAACAGAAGTTATCTCAGGACACTTTTCAAATAGAGTAGGTCTAGACCGAACTCTTTAAAACATTGTTTACAGAGACCCAACAGTACCACCATGAGCAAGCACTAGGCGACAAGGGCAAGGAAAAACTGCCTGTTAAAAGGCAGAAACCTAGGACAGATCCTTCGGCTCTAGGTGGGTGGTCGTCTACCTCGACGAGAGAGAGAGAGAGAGAGAGAGAGAGAGAGACTAGTCACAACAACATTTGAGTGAAATAGGCTACAGATATAAAAAAACAGGAACATTTGCATACAGCAGGTTCAAGGTCTTATTGTCTCTGGTGGTGCATGTGACAAACTGTGGACGAGAGAGAAACATGGTTGAAGGCCTCCGGGTGTTTCGTTTGTAGTCCTGCAGTCACATTGTTGATGATGTCACACGCTGCTTCTGCTTTCCCAGACAGAGGAATATAGACAGTATGTAGTCTTATGAACATTTTATGTCTGTACACAGTTTTCCTGTTCCCTCCAGAGAATTTATATCTGTAACTCGTGCTATCCCGATAGAGTTAATTCAACTTATAAAAAGCCACTTGAGTTAGAGTGAATATAAAACAAGTCAACCTGTACTGATGCTGAGTGGAATTGAACTAACAGATAGAAAGTGTAATAATAAACATATTTGCCAGTGTTTTCAAAGAATGAATGGAGTTCAGGACATAAACTGGGGAAGAGCTTGGCTTCTACCCCACAAATATTGCATATCTAACAAGGCTAAAGAAATACATTTTAAAATACTGCATAATATATACCCAGTTAGTAGTATTATTGCTAAGTTTATATATGTTGATGATTCCTTGTAATCTTAATACAGAAACAATTTCACATCTGTTTTTTATTGTGATATATCTAAAAAGTTTTGGAGTGATGTTGAATCTCATTGTTTTGATGCTGCTAACTCTGTCTACTCGTAGAGATGTTATTTGCTACTATGTTAACCCAGAAGATAATGCTCTTGAACACCTGATGAACTTTGTTATCCAATGTGCAAAATTCTTTATTCATAAACAAAAATTAGCAAAATCTCTACCTAAATTTGTTCCTTTTCTCCTGAAACTCAGCTCTTTGCTTAAATCTCTGATTTTGTTAAATAACAGAAAAAGTAATACCTTACTGAGTCATTATGAAATGTTTTTCCCTGAAGCCCCTGTTTGAACTATATTTTTTATTTTTAATTTGTACTCTATCTTTGATTTATTTATGTCACTAATGTGCTGATTGTAGCTTTGTACATTTAAATTGTTCAATAAAACACACACACACACACACACACACACACACACACACACACACACACAGAGGAATATAGACAGTGATGGCGATAACACTGGAAAGTTCCCGTGGCAGATAATATGGACCGTGCGACGGCGACGAGCTCGATGTCCGGGCTGCAGACACGCTCTTTCACACAGACGTGCCCGGCGTTACACCACCTGTTGTTTATGAGCACGGCAAGTCCCCCTCCTTTCTTCTTGCCGGTCGCGGTGGTGTCCCTGTCGGCTCAAACCGTCTGGAAGCCGGGAATGGTGACGTTGGATTCCGGTATCTGCTCTTGTAGCCACGTTTGTTTCCAGAGATGACTGCAGGGATGTAGAGTTTAAACCTCCTCTTCATCCTCCGTTTAACCCCCGCTCTGCAGCCTCGCCGTCTCCTCAGCTCCTCCGGTATGGAGGGTCTCTCTCCGGTCAGGATACTCGGGTGCCTCAGGGCGATAATCTGGCAGCGGGTGTAAACAATGCGACTCCCCGTCGCCATGGAGACCCGTGCAAACAAAAAAAAAGTGCTCAAAAAGTATTTAGGCGACATGAACAAAGTAGTAAAAAAGTAAGAAAAACTGTTAAAAAGTGAAAAAAAACACAGGCTAAAGACACACTAAAACTACAACAATGATAGCAGATCATGACATATTTGCAAAGAAATACTGTTTTTATTATTATTAACATAATGTACATCATTATTGCTGCTGAGAAACAAAACAAAATAAATTAAATTGTTCTGTGTAGGTGTCATCATAAAGCATATTTATATTTGTCATTTTAGTGCCAGGATAAATGTAATCTGTGCCAGAACAAATTTAATCTCAATGTAATAGTTTTGATTTCAAAATGTTCAAACTGAATATTGTATGCCAAATTTTAAATTGTATTTCACAGATTAAATAGAATCTTATGGTTTGACACTGGATTTAACTCGTATGGCAAATACAAATTCAGAATATTGTTAGTTTAAAAGTAAGATCTTTGAAAAAATTTGAAAAATTTTCAAAGGACAAAGAAGTCCTTTGAAAGGAGTTGGATTGAATCAGAGTTCTAGTCTAGACTACATGAGTGCCTCTGAGTTGAAACAAAATTATGAGAAACTGAATTTGAAAACTGTTATCTGAAATTTAAACTCTTTACTCTTAACTAAATAAACCACTGAAACTGAAATAATACTTACAAGCTGGAAGCAATATTGGTTAAAATCGATTCAGAGATACAATTTCAAATTGTATATTATACAGTATTCAGTTTTCTAATTCAAAATGATTACATTCAGTATGAGGGAGCTGGGAATCACCCCCCTCAATAAGGTGAAAAATTATACACCAAGGTAAACTGACTGTTAAGTTAGACAAGAGCAGACTAATGCAGGAAGTTTATTTTGTTGTTATATCGTGCTTTTATTTTGAAACTCACTAACTTTTTGAAGTCTACTTTCTGGGGGGCCTGTTTTCATTGAGCACAGGCATGAGAATGCAGCCACAGGACTAGTGGCAATTGGGTGCCAATCAAATCATCAGGCTGCACCACGTAGTCGGGAGGAAAGAGGAGAGTGGGTAGAGGAGTTTTTTGGTTAAGTTTGGGCTTTTGGTAAGTTTTATGTTTAGACACCAGTATCAGAGCTCTGAAAAAACCTTACCTGACTGATGCCACTTATTCATGCACTACACTTTAACCCTCATTCTGCTGGTTTTCATCCTGGTAGGAAGGGTTCTCCACCATCCAAACCCTACATTTAGATTCAGTTTGTTCTGGTACTAAAATAACTCCTTAAATATTATTATGAAAGACAATAATTAAGCTTTCTGTAGATGTTTTAACTTATCAAGTATGTTTGTAAAGAAAATCTATATATATATATATATATATATATATATATATATAAAAGAAATTAAAGTTTATAATACTTTTTTTAAAACTTTAAAATTTTAAAACTAAGAAAATGTGTCATTTTGTGCTGATTCAACTCTATGGTAATTCCTGACACTGTAGTCTGTGGCACTTGATTGCAGTTTTTATGGGGACATGTAACAAGGTGCCCATCATACAACAAGAATACCTGCTTCTTGGTGGGTGAGTTTAGTCGGGGTCTCCGAAAAGGTTTTATGTATTCACTGCCATCCTCCATCCAGAGTCAGCTGACAGTGATGCAGCTGGTAAAGACTTAACAACATTAAACTGATGCCAGCATGTAGCGTTTTTTTCGTTCACTTTGACTCACTTTTTGAAAGTCAACATTCTCTAAAGTGTAAGTTCAAAAATATTTCTGTAATGATTTTGTTTTGACAAAACATAGATTTCCTTATGCTGTCTGAGACCCAGTCAATCCCTGGCGACTGTCGCATTCAGTCAGCAGCCTAGGATCTCGGGTCGTGGAGGTGGACTGGCTGTGATTCATAGAGAGAAATGTTCCTTGTTTTCACTTGTAAACTTCTCTTCATTTGAATCACTTGGTTTTTATCATAAATGGCAGTGTCCCTCTACTCTGTGTTTAAATCTACGGACCCCAGAAATCTAATTCTGGTTTTATTGAAGAATTTTCAGATCTTTTACCTTTTTTTATGTCTCGGTTTGATAGAGTCTTAATTTTGGGTGATTTTAACATACATCTGCTGCCCTTCTCGTTCCTCTTTTACTGTGGATTTTATAGACATTGTGCATTCTTTTAATCCCACTGTGTACTTGTATAATGCCTTTCTAGTCTTCCGACCACTCAAAAGCGCCACATTCGCCCTTTCATACACATTCACACAGCATCGGGAGCAATTCGGGGTTCAGTATCTTGCTCAAGGATACTTCAACACGTGGCGGGAGGAGGCGGAATTGAACCAACAACCAATTAGATTACATTCCGATTACTCGATGACCTGGTCTGCCTCTGAGCCACAGCCGTAGGGACACATCCTAGACATTGTCCTTTGCTCTCGTTTTACTCTTGAAACCATTGATTTCTGTGAGACTATTCTATGTGTGTCGGACCACAAAGCCCAACCTTCCACCTCCTGGTCCTACAATGGCTACCTACGTCTCCTTCCAGGTACTCACTGCAAACTCCACTGTTAGATTTCAAAATACCTTTACCACTCCACACAGCAACAGCCAAAAAACAAATATGTTGACAGAAGAATTACTAACCTGTTCATCATCAGTCACTACTATTAGTGTAGTTGTTGCTACTGTTGTTGCTGTGCACCTTTGTCTCTGTCTGTCTCTGTCTTTGTGTCTCTCTGTCTCTCTCTCTCTCTCACCCCAACCTGTCGAGGCAGACGACCACCCACCTAGAGCCAGGGTCTGTCCGAGGTTTCTGCCTCTTAAAAGGAAGTTTTTCCTTGCCGCTGTCGCCAAGTGCTTGCTCATGGTGGGAATTATTGGGTCTCTGTAAATAATGCTATAAGGAGTTCGATCTAGACCTGCTCTATTTGAAAAGTGTCCTGAGATAACTTCTGTTGTGAATTGGCGCTAAACAAATAAAACTAAATTGAATTGAATCTTCAATAATACATATAAAACTGCTCTTGACTCTATAGCACCAATAAAATCTAAGCACAGCATTATTAAGAAAAAAATGCAGACAAGCAGAGTGCCTAGTGGCCTCATACCAACAATAGAACACCTCATGTCAACCTTTCAAAAAGCAGTAGGGATGCCAGATCATCCTTCTTTTCTAACATCATTACAACAAACCAGCATAATCCCAGAATCCTTTTAAAACTATCAAAGCTGTAACCCACCCCCTTCTGTTCAACACACTGAATCCACTCTGTGAGCAATGTTTCTCCTTTTTCATCACTAAAGTAAATTAAATAAAACTCAAGATTAGTCTTCCCACCGGCAACCCTCTTTTCAGAAAGCAATCCCTCTGCCTCTGCTTCTGTCTCCCTCAACAGTTTTCAGTACCTCACACTGTGCACTTTAACACACACAATAGCCAAATTAAAGCTTACATCAGCCCTTTGGATGAGAAGCCTGCCAGATTTCTGAAGGAGGTTTTTAACAGCGTTGGACCCTCGATTTTATTGATTGTAAATAGCTCTTTGTCCACAGGTTGTGTTCCCTCCTGCCTCAAGCACGCCATAGTGCACCCACCAAGCCTTGAGCCTACTGATATAATAATAATTTAAGACCTATCTCTAAATTTCCATTATTATCTAAGGTTTTAGAGAGGACTGGTTATTCACAATTGATCTCTTTTATGAACACTAATAAAATCTTTGACAGATTTCAGTCAGGTTTCCAGGCTCATCATAGCACTGAATCTGCTCTTATCAAAGTAACAAAACTTACAGCTGATACTGGTGACCGTTCAATTTTAATTCTTCTTGATTTAAGTACTGCATTTGACACTGTTGATAACTCTATTCTTTTAGATCGACTTGAAAAGTGGGTTGGCATCTAAAATATATATTTTTTAATCATATTTATCTGGCAGAACTTTTTTATGGGTGATGCCTCCTCTTCAGTGGCCCCTCTGACCTGTGGTGTTCCCCAAGGTTCCATCCTTAGCCCTAGACTGTTTGTTGTATACATGCTGCCACTGGGGCACATCATAAACAAATCAGTCCAGTATCACTGCTATGCAGATGACACACCAACAAATGAAACAAATCATATTTAGCATGGAGGACTGGAGTGAATCTATGTTATGGTAAATGGACCTGTACTTGTATAGTGCCTTTCTCGTCAAAATTATTTACTTACTGTCTGAGATATGTCCTTCTTTGAAGCAGTTACAGGTATGATCGCCCTATTCGTGCCTGAAATTGGGACTTTGGCCGGCAATATATTTTAGTACTTGGGATGACTCTCATAACACAGATTAACAACTAAAGGTCTATGATAAATTACAACTAAATAGACTCACTCAACATTTTAATTGAAGACCTCTTGTGTCCTCTGTGAAGCAGTTACTTACTGCCTGAGATGTGGCTTTTGTTTATCTGTGAAGCAGTTAGAAGTATGATAACTATTTGTGTCTGAAATTGACTTTGGCCGGGCAATATATTTTACCACCAGCAACTGAGTGATTGAACTGAGTGAAAATTCTTAAAAACATACTGACAGTATGAATATAATGAAGAACTATTACACACACAGTAATTATTTCTGTAAAATATTTTTATGTAAGTCAGGCAACTGTTAAAGATGGCCACATCCTCAGTGTTGTTTCTGGGAATCTGGAGGATTTTGTCTATGGTTAGAGCAAGTTTGTGTTTTAGGTCAAAACGTTAAAAGCCTTCATTGTCATGGCTTAATGAATAACTTGCTTGGTTAAGTTTGGGAACAATCATAGTCATAGTTTAAGGAAAACAAAGTTAACTGGTGGAAGGAAACAGGTAATGAACTGCAGTGTCTTGTTTCGGATGCAACACATGCAACCATTCTCCCTACCGGCCCTTGTGAGACAGGAGCGCATGGATTGTTTGTTTGTTTCCTTGTTTTCAAAAGACAATTATGCAAAATACTACAATCACCTATCAAATAATGCTAATACAGACACAGAAAGACTAGCTAATTATGTTGCCCCCGAGGCAGCACAGTGGTCCTTGCTGGGTTGATGTGATTGCAGGTTATGCACATCACAGTTAATTCACAGTCCATGCTGGAACCCACAATGACAGAGTTTGGAGTAAATAAGAGCATTTATTCAGAGGCAGTATTGTCCTGAAAGACAATTTGAAGGTGCTAGTCCTTTGAGTCCTTCCACTTTACCTGACTTTTAAGTAACTGAACTTGTCTATGGTTAGAAAGAGATTGTGGTTTTGGTTAAAAAGTAAGAAGCCTTAATTGTTTTGTCTTAATGGAGAACTATTTGTTTGATTAAGGAGCGATCATGGTCATGGTTATAAGAAACCAAAGTTGACTATTGGAAGGAAATAGGAAATTAACTGTAGTTTCCTGTGTCAGATGCAACACATGCAACCATCGTCCCTACCTGCCTTTGTGAGACAGGAGCACATGGATTGTTTGTTTGTTTTGTTTTAACAAAAAATATTGCTGTTGTTTCTCAGTAATAGGTTAAGAATAATAAGAATAAGAATTGTTTTTTTGAGATATTTTTTTTTTTTTTTTTACAGATGCTGCAGGTTATTGCATTTTGTCCACTGCAAAGACACTCAAGGGGGCACTTTATTGTGTCTTATCCACTGGACGGGCACCCAAAGGGGCACTTTCTTCTGTTTTGTCCACTGGAAGGACTTTACTTAATGTACTTTCTAGACCTTCGACCACTAAATGCACTGTACACTACATGCCACACCCAATTCACACACAACTGCTCGCCAGAATGGAAACTAATCATTCATTAATTTATGCACACTCACACACCGATGCACAGCATCGGTAGCAATTTAGGGTTCAGTGTCTTGTTCAAGGACACTTGATTGAACCATCAACCTTCCAATTAATGGACGAACTGCTCTACCTCTGGAACCTTGAATCCACCAGTGGTACTTTGTACAGTGGCCATATGTTGGAGGTATTAGACTTTAGTAGAAAAATCCTTGATGTGAGTTTAAAGATTCATCGAGGAGTGCGGATTGGCAGGAGTGTGAGGATCTTTCGAATTTTTAGTTGTGGATCATTTTAACAAAGAAGAGGATAATGAGATGGCATGAATATCACTGGGTGTCTGACTTTTCTAAAACTATATGTAGTACTAATTTGGTATTTTGCTTGATTATGTTCATGTGCAATGAAATCAACCCCCATTCCAGCCTTGCAAGTCCACTAGAGGTCAACAGAAATGGATCAATATCCAGGGACACAGGGAACACTACTGAAATTGTCCTAAGAGTTCAAGGAAACAAGTCCAACAATATATATCTATTTCCGGAAGGGGGGGTTACTATACCAAAATCACTGCAATGCAAACAGAATCTAGTGAATTCAATTACATCTTTAAATTGGGAGGTCATATGTCTGGTTGTACACACTCCGGTACAAGAGGTGGCAGTAGACTGAACAGTACTGAACAGTAGACTGAACAGTACTGCCACCTCTTGTACCGGAGTAGACTGAACAGTCGAAGCTCCCATGACTCTTCCTGTGAACTTAGTTGACATGATGGATACCGACAGTAAACTGGACACTAACAAACAGTTTCAAACAACCCCCTTACCAGAGTCTCTCTCATTCTCCGGTCAGCCGTACTCCGTGTCCGTCCTTAAAGTCGGATACTGTTTCTATCAGACCGACGGGACGTTTAGAGCCGATGGGACCATCACCCTCATAACGGGACCGAGGACTATTCTAGTGGACACCGGTGGCCCGTGGGACCGGGATTTTCTCTTACAGACTTTAAAAGAGAGGGGTCTGGAACCGGGAGACATTCATGTGGTCGTGGGGACTCACGGACATTCAGACCACGTAGGAAATCTGAGCCTGTTTCCTGCAGCAGTGATCATTGTAGGATATGATGTCAGTGAAGGGGACACATACCGTCCCAACAAGCTGGCAGAGGGACACGCTTACCGTATTGATGAGTATGTAAGTATAATTTCATATCTGTCACATCCAATATGACCAAGCGTAATAGGAAGCCACAATTGTTTGATAAAGCAAAAATGTGTAACAACCAGCCTTATAATGAAGTAGGCTACTGCAGTTCTGCAGAGATGCTACAAATCTTGTTCTCCACATTTAAGAAAACATTATTGTTTAGTACAGACCACAACAGATTTTAGATCATCTTGATTTAGATAATTTTTTCAGTAAAAACAAAAGTTGTGATTGATATGATTTTTCATATCACAATTGCAATATCTTTCAAAATAATCGCAATATGATGTTTTTACCCTATTGTGCAGCCCTGGATTTAAATAAAATAAATATCGTGACCAGTGTTGAGCTAGTTACAATTTTTTATTTATGTATTCCTCCTTAGTCGTTACTCTTGAAAATAGTAATGTTATTACTTTACCTATTACTCCCTGCCAACAATAATTAGTTACACTGCTAATTAAATTACTTTTCTGCTACTGCCCATAAAAATGTTAATTGTGTCCTTTCTCCTCCAAAGACTTCACATGTTTGCCTGTGTCTAATACACTGGTTCCTACACTTCATGGAGGGTCGCAAAGGCCTTCTTGATTTTAAGAAATCTAAATGAAAATCTGCATTTGGCTCAATTCCATGAATAAAAGTAAAGCAAATAGAGCAATGGGCAAGCATCAGGGACAAGAAAACACTAAAAGAAGCCTAGGAAGTATATGATTGTTAAAAATTACACAATACAGGCAGTCTTCCCTAAAAGTTCCCTAAACAGGAGGTAATCTGCTCAAAATTCACCCATATCACTTGTTTTACGCAAGCTTCTTGTTGTTTTGAAAATAATATGAAATATCCATAAAATATGTCACTTAGTCAGGGGTTGTCAGTTTACTAAATGATAGAAAAGGGGTCCCTCAAGGAAAAGGTTGGGAACCACTGGTCTGAGCTAAGCCTCAGAGTGTCAGATACTCTGAGTCATTGTTATTAAACTGGCCCTTAAAATGTTACTCTGGTTAATGTGCAATACGGTAGCATACATATATTTCTATCTAATATATATTGTCATATATTGTAATATAATGTGTTACTTCAAACTCTTATGTTTTCCTATTTTCTATTTTCTATATATAGAGTTGTTACATTGAACATTAAATCATTCATCTTACTCACTTCACTACTCACATACTCACTACATCTGAACCTTCCGACCCTTAGGTGCGTAAAAACTACAGGTTATGAACTTCTTTTTTAAAATACAAAGATGCAGAATTATCAGTTATCGGTATCTGCCATGAGAAACAGATAATTGGTTAACATATTGGCCTAAAAAAGACCATATCGTGCATCCCTAATGGGTATGCATACCTGGGCAATCGAAAAGGGATTCTAATTCTGGAGTAGTCTAGCCTAAAGTCAAGTTACTGTCAGTTACAGTACAGTTTGCAAATCAGCAAATTAGCCTGTGTCACAACTCCCTCACTTCACCCTCCCATTCGGGAAAGTATATATATATATATATATATATATATATATATATATATTCCATATATATTCCAAAGGTGCTCTATTGGATTGAGATCTGGTGACTGTAAAGGCCATTGGAGTACAGTAAACTCACTGTCATGTTCAAGAAACAAGTTTTAGATGATTTGAGCTTTGTGACATGGTGCGTTATCCTGCTGGAAATAGCCATCAGAAGATGGGTACACTGTGGTCATAAAGGGATGGACATGGTCAGCAACAATGCTCAGGTAGACTGTGGCGTTTAAACAATGCTCAATTGATACTAAGGGGCCCAAAGTGTGCCAAGAAAATATCCCCCACACCATTACACCACCACTAGCCGCCTGAACTGTTGATACAAGGCAGGATGGATCCATGCTTTCATGTTGTTTATGCCACATTCTGACCCTACCATCTGAATATCGCAGCAGAAATCGAGACTCATCAGACCAGACAACGTTTTTCCAATCTTCTATTGTCCAATTTTGGTGAACCTGTGCGAACTGTAGCCCCAGTTTCCTGTTCTTAGCTGACAGGAGTGGCGCTCAGTGTGGTATTCTGCTGCTGTAGCCCATCAGCTTCAAGGTTTGACGTGTTGTGCGGTCAGAGATGGTCTTCTGCATACCTTGGTTGGAACAAGCAGTTATTTGAGTTACTGTTTCCTTTCTATCATCTTGAACCAGTCTGGTCTGTATTTTCTTATCCGTTGTGTTTTATCTGGAGCTGCTGTAGCAAATGAATTTCCCCAGTGTGAGATCAGTAAAGTCTGTTATCTTATCTTATCTTATCTAGATACAGTGTTTGGTTCGTCTGTTCTGGGCTACTGTAGAAACATTGCGGTTCAACGGGGATGTTATTTCTGCCTTAATGTCCCACACTTCACCGCTATTAGTGGCTTTGAAGGAAGGAAATATGTGTAGCCTATATGATAGCAGCTGTTGCCATCGTGTCTTTTCCCATCACGTCTGACATTGGCTAAGCTCCTATAGCCCATGGAGGGCAGCTAGTTCCGGCTTAAGCACTGTCGACGGTTCGCTGCTTGTGCGCAAAGTCACTGGGGAGATGATTAAGACTTGCAGGAAGAGAAATGCGCACCCATCCTATGACAAGAAAGACATTTGGATTACAAAAATCCTTTGATGACTAAAATGTTTCTTTGAACAAGACTAAAATATTGGAGTTTTAGTCAACTGAAAATTGATTACAAATAAAAAGGATGAAACTGCCTAAAACCAGGGCTCAGTAAGTAAAGTAAAACGCCTCTCTGGGGGCAAAGACAAAGTTTATGAGCTGAAGTGCAGGCAACCATTTCAATTATCCTGGAAACAGGAGATTAGTTGGGTGGCATTAGAGGATGTGGGTGTGTTGTGCAATTTACCATAATGGCATGGCACTATGGCAACAGTGCATGTAGATGCAGCTGTCGGAAGCTCCTTCAAACTTGCTACATTATTGTTTTAATGTGTGTTTTTTTTTACTTTATTGACTAATGTCTGATTAGGTTTGATTTTAGTGGCCAAAATTGTTCAAATTGACTGGATCAGGACATTTTGACTATGGCAACATATGCGCATAACATGGCCAAACAACAGAAAATCAGGTTCATGAGTGTGAAATGTTTCCTCTCTCCCACAGGTATCTGTAGTACCCAGTCCAGGCCACACAGGACAAGATGTCAGTGTCCAGGTGAAGGGAACCTCTGCAGGCACAGTGCTTGTTGCAGGGGACCTATTTGAGTGTTGCTCAGATGAGGACAGTTGGCGGGATCTAAGTATGAACACTGCAATACAAGAGGTCAGCCGCCAGGAGGCGCTACGCACGGCAGATGTTATCATACCGGGACATGGACCACCGTTTAGAGTCTTTAGGAACTGATGAACCAATCCTAAAGATTAATGCTGGGTTGTGTAAGGACGTGCCTGTAGGTGGAGTTTTATAACTTAACTGCAGCTGTTTGACATAATGTAATCATACTGAACCAAAGTTTACATATCTTACTGATTAACACGTGTTCACATGGAGAGGAGCAGCTCCTCAGTTTCTAACCACCGGCTACACAGGCAGAAAAAAACACATTGTTTTACATTTGTAACTATGTAATTCTCACTTGCGGACTGAACCTGCCTGAACTCATATCCACATCCCTGTAACAAGGTTTGAACTATCACCACTGGAGATCACACAGTCCCCTCTGCTGCCCAAAAATCTAAGTATTAGATTAAAGAAGATAAAATAATATTTATTCATCCAAGCTCTTATCTTTGGGGGGGGGGGGGGGGGGGGGGATTTACTGTTGGAAAAAGTTGCACAACTCCTGCCCAATCGTGACAGTCTCCTTGTGCTTTAAAGCTAGACTTTCTGAATATATAAGTGTTTCGATCCACGGTTATCTCTCATTCCGAAAGGAATTGGAAGGTGTTTTTATTTTATGGACATAGGCAACAGTAGACAACCATTCAGTCTAAGTTACTGTTAGCTTATTTAAAGGTCCACTGTGTAACATTTGGGATATCTAATGGCGGAAATGCAATATTATAATAATAATATCACTATGCTTTCATCAACTGAATATAAGAACATTATTTTTTTGTTTTTGTTTACCTTAGAATGAGCCGCCTTTATCTACAGGCACTCCTGCTCGCCTTTCATGGAGTCCGCCATGTTGAATCACCATACAGCAGCCCTGGCTCTGGATAGGGCCTTTAGCATTTTTTGCATGTTTCGCATCCATCATAATATCTCCTTTGCGATTGGAGTTGGAGGGTGAAGTGACTGAGTTAGAATCTGCAACTATACCACCAGATGTCACTAAATCATACACACTGGACCTTAAAGCTGCAGAATCTCCTTGAAGAGTGCTGCTAACCTTGTTTTACATGTACATTTTAGTGTACTTATGATTTCTGCAATTTGAAGTTCCCTTCAGTTATTTTTATCTCCATTAGCTTCTAAGAAGCTAATGCTCTTCTATTCGTTTTGAAGATGATTTATACATTATATAGTATATAGTATACATTCGTGGCCAAAAGTTAATATAAATTTTCACAAAGTCTGCTGCTTCAGTTTTTATAATGGCATCTTGCATATACTCCAGAATGTTATGAGGAGTGATCAGCGCAACTGCAATAAATTGCAAAGTCCCTCTTTGCCTTGAAAATGAACTTTATCCCCAAAAAAAACATTTCCACTGCATTTCAGCCCTGCCACAAAAGGACCAGCTAACATCATTTCAATGATTCCTCCGTTAACACAGGTGTGGGTGTTGATGAGGACAAGGCTGGAGATCAATCTGTCATGATTGAGTTAGAATAACAGACTGGACACTTTAAAAGGAGGATGGTGCTTGACATCATTGTTCCTCTTCTGTTAACCATGGTTACCTGCAAGGAAACATGTGCAGTCATCATTGCATTGCACAAAAAGGGCCTAACAGGGAAGTTTATAGCAGCTAGTAAGATTGCACCTCAGTGAACCATCTATTGGATTATCAAGAACTTCAAGGAGAGAGGTTCAATTGTTGCCAAACAGGCTCCAGGGCGCCCAAGAAAGTCCAGCAAGCACCAGGACCGTCTCCTAAAGTTGTTTCAACTGCAGGATCGGGCCACCACCATTGCAGAGCTTGCTCAGGAATGGCAGCAGGCAGGTGTGAGTGCATCTGCACGCACAGTGAGGCGAAGACTTTTGGAGGAAGGCTTGGTGTCAAGAAGGGCAGCAAAGAAGCCACTTCTCTCCAGAAAAAACATCAGGGACAGACTGATATTCTGCAAAAGGTACAGGGATTGGACTGCTGAGGACTGGGGTAAAGTCATTTTCTCTGATGAATCCCCTTTCCGATTGTTTGGGGCATCTGGAAAAAAGCTTGTTCGGAGAAGATGAGGTGAGCACTACCATCAGTCCTGTCTCATGCCAACAGTAAAGCATCCTGAGACCATTCATGTGTGGGGTTGCTTCTCAGTCAAGGGAGTGGGCTCTCTCACTATCTTGCCTAAAAACACAGCCATGAATAAAGAATGGTACCAGAACGTCCTCTGAGAGCAACTTCTCCCAACCATCCAAGAGCAGTTTGGTGATGAACAATGCCTTTTCCAGCACCTTACCATAAAGCAAAAGTAATAACTAACTGGCTCGGGGAACCAAACATAAAGATTTTGGTCCATGGCCAGGAAACTCCCCAGATCTTAATCCCATTAAGAACTTGTGGTCAATCCTCAAGAGGCGGGTGGACAAACAAAAACCCACAAATTCTGACAAACTCCAAGCATTGATTATGCAAGAATGGACTGCCATCAGTCAGGATTTGGTCCAGAAGTTGATTGACAGCATGCCAGGGAGAATTGCAGAGGTCTTGAAAAAGAAGGGTCAACACTGCAAATATTGACTTGTTGCATGAACACAGTGTAATTGTCAATAAAAGCTTTTGATACTTATGAAATGCTTGTAATTATATTTCAGTATACCATAGAAACATCTGACAAAAACACCTAAAAACCCTGAAGCAGCAGACCCTGTGAAAATGTAATATTTGTGTCATTCTCAAAACTTTTGGCCACGACTGTACATTATTTTAAGTATTGTTGAAAGCTTTCACAACATACGATTATTACAGTTCACCAGTTCATTGTACCTTTGAACTGCTGATGTTGTGGTGAGTCATGAGGAGGACAGGAGTGCTATCACTCACGCTACACTTTCCATCAACGTCAACACAAAGCGTCATCAGTCAATCAATGTCATGACCCAGTAATTATGGGGAAAACCAGTGTGTTTAAATAAAGACATTTAGTCAGCAAATATTCAGTGCATTTAAAAAAAAAAATTTCATCTTCCCCTACTGCATCTCAGCCATCTGAAGAGAGGGATTTTTCTTTGAATTGTCTTTCAAGGGTTTTCTAATCATGTGCTAATTATGCTAATGTTCTGCAGTGTGTATGGTGCTGTAGTCATACCAAGTTTGTGGGTGTGTCTCATATGTGTCAGAATACCGTCAGAGTGGTAGTACCAGGCACAAACAGGAGATTGGTGTGTATTCACCAATAAAACCTCATAAACTTCAACTGTCACATTGTTGGGTAAACTATTGTTGGCTGGTTTGGGAAAACTGATGCATCCCATCATCCTATGTAAAAGTAACTTTTGTAGAGACGGAGGTAAAAAATATCACAAATATCTTTCGAGCATGGGTGTACCCACCATTGAAGTCACAAAGGTATGGACCTCAGTATTTTTTTTTAGAGGGGTATACAAAAAAGTCTTGAAACAACTGCCTAAAAATAACTATTCTCATGCTATGATTCCCCAACCCCCCTAGCAAGTTCAGTTTTTGGATCTTGGTATGTCTAAAACTCTCCGTGTAAACTCTAAGAGAAAAGCAATGAAAATGTTCTTCTTGTTTATTTGGTCCAATTCAGGCAGGAGGTTCAAGATGCTCTGTAATTTGCATTGGGAGGTTCAGGATTGTTCTAAGTAAAAGATTCTGAAGTATTGTAGAAACTTAAAGAATATTCATCTTTTGAAAATCTGATGTAGATCCATGATAAGTTTCATATCAATGACTATTAGACCTTCAGTAAGTTAAAAACCAACAATGAGGTTGTTGTATGTTCAAGTCTTAACTCGATAGATTATTAATTATTTTACTCTTTTATTGCGTGTAAAATTTCATTCATGACCTTGGGACTAGTTGTGTGAAAGATAATCTTGATTTAAGGTCTAGATACAAGTCTTCCAGATCTTTAGACATGCAGTCTTCATCACTGGAGTTTGTGCAGTTTTCATGTAAATATCCTCCTTGACCCCTGGCCCATGACCTTTGACCTTTTTTGAGTCAGTGCTATGACTGGTTTTGGAAACACCCGACCAAGAATCCGTCACAGAATCTACTGGGTAGGGGATACAAGTGGGCAGTGTGTCCCGTGTATATGCATGAGGGTTGGGTATCTTTTTTCTTTTTTTTGTTCCAGCGGTTGGAAGATGCGCTATATAAGTACAGTTCAATTCAATTCAATTTTATTTGTATAGCGCCAATTCATAACAGAAGTTATCTCAGGACACTTTTCAAATAGAGCAGGTCTAGACCGAACTCTTTAACATTAATTACAGAGACCCAACAGTACCACCATGAGCAAGCACTTGGCGACAAGGGCAAGGAAAAACTGCCTGTTAAAAGGCAGAAACCTAGGACAGATCCTCCGGCTCTAGGTGGGTGGTCGTCTGTCTCGACCAGTTGGGGTGAGAGAGAGAGAGAGAGAGAGAGAGAGAGAGAGAGAGCGACAGACAGACAGACAGGTGCACAGCAACAACAGTATTGGCAATGGCAGTCAAGCAGGACCATGGCAGGAGGCTCCACCAGGATCCATGAGAAGGTTCTCATTTCGCGAGACGAGAAAGCACAAGAACTCCGGGGAAGAAGTGGAGTTAGTAACATGCATTAAAGGGACATGAATGAGTGCAGAAAGAGAGAGGAAGAGAGTAGCTCAGTGCACCATGGGAAATCCCCCGATAGTCTAGGCCTATAGCAGCATAACTAAGGGATGGTTCAGGACTCACCTGATCCAGCCCTAACTATAAGCTTTATCAAAGAGGAATGTCTTAAGCCTACTCTTGAATGTGGTGAGGGTGTCTGCCTCCCGAACCACAACTGGAAGCTGGTTCCACAGGAGAGGAGCTTGGTAACTGAAGGCTCTGGCTCCTGTTCTACTTTTAGAGACTATAGGAACCACAAGTAGCCCAGCATTCAGAGAACGTAGTGTTCTAGTGGGGTAATAGGGTACTATGAGCTCTTTAAGATATGAAGGGGCCTGACCATGAAGAGCTTTATAGGAGAGGAGGAGTATTTTAAATTCAATTCTACATTTTATAGGGAGCCAATGCAGAGTAGCTAGTACAGGAGAGATGTGATCTCTTTTTCTAGTTCCTGTCAGTACTCGTGCTGCAGCGTTCTGAATTAGTCCATTTACTTTGTAATTAATTTGATTATTGCCACCAGGTTTCTGTACTGAATGAAAGGGAGACAATATCCAGGTTACATTAAGTTGTAACCAAAGGAAATGAGCTACTTTTTGACAAACCTCGGAATATTCCAAAACACCAGTGATGTAAAACGGAACTGAAGTGAAAATGGCAACAAAAGTATCCATCAACAGCAAAGTGATCGCCTAGCAGAAGATTCCCAACTGGACCGGTCGTTGATTACTTGACTACAGGCCATTAAGAGGGGTAAGGAGTCAGCAGTCAGTGAA